TGAGTTGCAATCCAAACCACTTTGAACACGGCTCAGGTTCATCCAACACAGTTGGTGCCTGATCACAGCCAGTGTAAAACATCCTGTCCATGCCAGAAGTATGGCCTGAATGCCACTGGTCTCTTGTAACTCACCCAGCACAGCACTTGTGCTCAGCACTACGTGAACAGGATGTCCTCAACAGGTTTATACAGCCAGTGGGAGGGTGTCCTCTTTCCACCTGGATCTGTGTGGCATGCATAGCCCTGCCCCTCATGCCACTGCTGACACACCATTCACCTCTTTATGCTTCATTTTCTAATGCGGAAGGTCCTGGGAGGGCAATTACAAATACATAAATACATGTATTTGATTTCCAGGTCCAGAATTACTTGGAAATCCTCGCTTCTTGCCAGCCAAGGACAAAACACATGCAGCTGAGGCTCTCCTAATGCAATTGCAAGGACAAATAATGGCTAAATTAAATGCTACAGGACACAGGTTACTCTCCCACCCGCAAACATCCCTGCTCTGTAGGTTCAGACTGCACTTTCGGGGAAATCCCCCCTCCACATAGGCACAGCCACCCCATAACCTGTCATTTGGAGAACAGGCACTACACATCCTGCTCTCTTTTTGCTGAGCTGGGACCTCACTGAAGCCTCTCAGTGGGGAATAAAGATACCATCTTGCTGCAGAAGAGGATGCAGAGCTGTGCTGCCTTCAGGAGCCATCAGTATCATCGGTGAGCTGCTGAGCAAACTAGACAAGGCAATATCCTCCTGTGTCTGTGCTCCCATTCCCAACACATCTACATTCCCTTCAGACTGTAGGCTCTCTCCATGCCTGAGTCTCTGCCAGTGGAGCCTTCAGAAGGGTCTGCTTAGACTCATTTTGCTATAAAAGACCAAAAAGCTTTAAAAAGAATTCAAAATAGGTTATTGTTTTTAAGCAGAATGCCCATGGCTGAGGGTGCTCCAGAGACACCACAGAGGTAAGTGAAACAAGAATGTATAAAGTGGTGGTAGATCATTTTTGAAGGCTGTTGACTGCAGTAAGAAATAAGTTTCATAATCATCTGGAAGAATGATTGCAGGGAACAGAACGTAACTTTGATCATGTCTTCCAAAATAAATAATCTGTACGGTTAAATAAAACCTAGGCACGAGGAGATAATTTACTGACTGTGAATTGCTAAAAGGCTGGGGATTAGTCGAAGATAACTCCTGTTTCCCAAGTGTGCTTAACAGAACAAGAGTGTTTTCAAAGTATTGTTTTCTGGTGTACTGTGTATTTTATTTAAAAAATGACTATGGAGATGCTATTAAGAAATAAGAACTGTCCACAAGACAAACTGTTAGTGAAACTCAACTACCTTCCCACTTCTGCAACCAACAGTTGTTTGCAATATGAACCAGTCCATGAGCTGAGGTTTTATCAAGATGTGTTCTTCCTGAAATCCAAAGCAGGGCAATAAATCTCAACTCAAGACATGCATCAGCTCAATCAGCTTCTCTAGTTTCACAGAACAAGTCCTAGCACAAAAGCCTGGCCTGTGCAGTTAGCTGAAGGATGCTAGTGGGTCAGGAATCAGTGGGAGACTGATTGCTGATTTGCTGGCTAAGCCTTGACATGAAACTGGGATAAGGGAGCTCTCGAGGTCTGTTTTCCAGCCAATTATTTGTCCTGCCCAGTTCCATCGTGGTCTTGCAAACAGTAAGTGCCTGTCCTCAATGCCAGTGGAGAGCATGCCTTAGTCAGGACAGGCAGGTGCTACTCCAGCAGTGACATGCTAAATTAATCCAAGCCTTGTTTCATTGCCAGAGCCTGCAGTGGTGGGACCCCAAAGAGAATTAACCCAGTGTACATTTTCTGTGGGGAGGTTGAGCCTCAGAAGAATAACAAAGAAAAACAGCAATCAGCCTGCTGTCAGAAACATCCCGCCTTTCCCAGCACTCAGGCTTAGACATGTTTTATCACAGAATCCCAGACTGATATGGCTTGGAACAGACCTTACTGCTCATCCAGTCCCAACCCTCCACCACAGGCAGGGACATCTTCCACTAGAGCAGGATGCTCCAAGCCCCTGTGTCCAACCTGGCCTTGAACACTGCCAGGGATGGGGCAGCCACAGCTTCTCTGGGCACCCTGTGCCAGTGCCTCAGCACCCTCACAGAGAAGAACTTCCACCTTATATCTAATCTAAATCTACCATCCTTCAGCTTGAAGCCATTCCCCCTTGTCCTGCACACATACAAGCTAGGACAAAAACACTGGTACATGCAATCCCTTCTTACATAAATGAAGCTCCTCATGATCTCAAAGCCATGCAGTCACTTACAGGCCTGGGGGTTTAAGTGGTTGAGCACTTCATTCAGGTGACAGGCAGCCCTTCTTAGTCTTAATCAGCAGATATCCAGAGAGCTAACTCACAGACATAAAGCAAATCTATTTAGGGAATAAATGTCTAAATAAATATAAGAGATGGGATGCTGATCTTTTAATGTTCCTCTGCAAGGTAAATAAAATTATGGTGGGTTTTTTTCCACTTCAATTCATTTAGGGTATTCATTTACTATGGCATGATAAAAAGGCTCAACACGCCTAGCTCACTAGGGCTTCCCTCTGTCCTTGGGCAAGAAGTTGCCCAGCTAAGCTGAGCACTAAGGCGAAGGCAGGCAGGCTTACAAAGCCACAGTACTCATCAGCTGGATGTACAGGCAAACCAGGGGTGCTTCAACTGCCCAGCTGAGGCCCCTTTGGTGGAGGAAGAGGGCAGGTTTTGCAACAGAGCCTAAATAAAAGCGGAGCAGGCTGGAGGACCCTTATCTTGCACGACAAGTTCATGACATTTAAGTCTGAGACACACAAATAGCCTTTCTTTTTGTTTTCTCCCATCTGCCACCTTCACTTGGTCATTAAAGCAATCATTCAAATGATAAAACAAGTAACACTGCCTAACTAGTGAATGTCAAATCATCAGTGTAAATATGCTGGCATTTATTTATTTATTTGCCTCCCCAAAAACATTCTCCTCTCTTTGGTTTTCTATTGTAATGACTACAATTTACTATATTAACTAGACTTCCAGTTTGCTGGGGTTTGCTTCAAGTTCTGCTTTTTGCTGAGACATCTGTGAGAGGGCAGACACAGGGAAGAGAAGTAGTAAAACTAATAAAGAAGTAACAGTAGCTGTCACCAAAAAGCACAAGGGGCTGAGCCACCTTCCTTTACTACATGTGGCCCTTTCTTTTTGCTCTCATTTGCTGATTTTACTGCCCACTTTCCACCAATACTTTACTCTGCTTATGGCAGCTCTCTACAGGGAACATGGCAGCATAAGAAGGAAGGAAAGCCAAAGCAGGAGAACTGATAAGATGAATTCAAGCCATGGCCCACAGTGGCTTCAGGAGGCATCTGAAACTCCAGCAATGCCTGAGCGTGGGGCTCCTGCCCTCACAGGAAGTATCTATCTGCCGCCTGTCTAATGCAGTGGGAAACGTTAGTCCAGCTGCACCAAGGCTATATCTATTTCAGAGCACAAGCATATGTGTTTTCCCCACCTGTTACAACTGTGAAATGTATAGATAGCATTTACTTCCTAGGCATTCGGCGCTCAAATTAACAGGCAACCTGTTAGTCTGAGTGCAATTAGCACCCCAAACTTCACTCCAGACATATCTGGTAGCTGAATTTGGCTTGCAGGGCTTTTTGCAGCCTGGTGCACTCTTTGAGTAAATATAGGCCAATGTATAGAGTGGAAACCCTGTGAAATCCCTCACAAATTTAACACGAAGCAAAGCTAAACAGGCTGCTGGAGAATTGGCTCTGCCTTTGTTAGAACCCAGACTGGAAAGTTCATGTTTTTACAAACTGAAATTGAGCACCAGGTTCACCCATGAACCAAGTGACTGAGTGTAACACAACCTGCTGGGCTTACTCCTGCCGCCCTCTTCCTGCTGCCGGGTTGCAACATCGCTGCTCCCACTATGTGCCTGTTAGGAAAATGTCAGTTCCATACGGACACACATCCTGGAATATGACACGGGCATTCTGCAGAGGTATACATGAGCAATACCATATGATACCAGCAGGGTAAACCCTTATCTGTGCCATGGCTTGACTTGAGCTGGAAAGTACAATCAGCACAGAATGCAACAGCCTGCCTTCCCTACCATGGCCCCCATATGAGTTCCTTCAATGTTGCAGCCACAACATCTGCAGCAACCTGAGATGCCCACCTACGTGCACTGGATCACTCCTCTACTGGGGTATTTCTTCCACCATAACTAGTTTTGAAACATCAGATAATGATGGGCTTAAATTCTTCCAATTCAGCATTCATCCTTCCCTCCTCCTGGTTGCCATGTTAACAGGGAATGTGCAAACCACATCAAAATGGTCCTTCACAAACCCAAAAGCATGATACTTACTCAGAATTTGATGTAAGGAGGGTTGAGAGAGTGGCACAACCAAGGCTCCACAGTGGCAGGCCAGCCTCCATCTATTACAGACTTCCCCTGGATACTGGAGATTCAAGTAGGCTCACAATTCTAGTCTCTTACACGAAGAAAGTTTGATATTCATTCAACAATCACCTTTTTCCCCCCTTTTTTCTTATAAGCTCCACAAATGTTACCCAGAGTCCTCCTCTTGCTTAGTCTATCAATCAGTCCATCTATAGCATTTTATTTGGATTAGCTTCTCCAAGCCTCCAGTGCATATCTGCATGACACTCTGACCTTCCTAAACCCTGCTGGCAACACACAGACCTGCAAGGTGTCACCCTCCTGTGCAGTGACATGGATTTCTCCCCAAGCCCTGGATAAATCTAAACAACACATCCTCAGAGTATCTGTCACACCAATGACACTGCTCATTCTCTGCACGTGTGACGTTTTATTACCCTCTTCTACGCACTGAAGCTGATGGGAAGGAGACCTGCCCTTCTCCTGTCCAGCACTTGTAGCTAGACCCTTAAACGTAGAAGACAGAGGGAAGAAATAAGGCAGCCTGCTTACCCTCAGGAAGGAGAGGTCTCGGTTGTGCTCGATGCTGGTGATTTCCAGGTTGCCCATCACTACCTCGCAGTTCTCATAGTACTTGCGCAGAGCCCGATACTGCTGCTCCAGGTCAGAGAGGGAGCTCAGCTTGTTCTCGGTGCCGGCACACACTGCAAGAAACCACAAGGCAAACAATCAGGATGAGTGGGGAAAGGAGCAGAGAAGGAAATAAAGTTTGTGTACAGGCATACGGGTAATTGTAACAAAAACCTGAATTATTCAGAGGACTGGGTGCTGCAAATAAACCCCAACATGAGTTACTTTATTATCAACAGTAGAGATAGAAAGGTACAAATATGGTCCATGAGTATCTCAGCAATTTAAAGACATCAAATAGGATGAGGTGCTGGTATTCACCATCAAATGTGGAAAGGCTGAAAATGCACAAGAGCAGATAAAATGCAAACCTAAACTGTCAAACCCAGCCCTCAGCAAGGTCCCTAACTAGTTCTGCCAGCGACAGAATCAGACACTGAACAGAGATGCACCCATCACAGACAATAAAATGTACAGGCTGAAAAGACCCATGAACCCAAGCTGACCAGGGCAACCCAGTATTCTCCCTATTCAGCTAATGCTCAGAAGGGTCTGTTGGTCAAGCCAAGAGCAACCTGACCAGAAGGCTCATACCCAACATGAGTTTTCCCATAACTTTCCTTAAGACCTCAGCTCTTGCTGGCTTTATGCAATTAAATAGGAGAAAGGCAATAGCAAAACCTACATCATAGAATCATAGAGTGGTTTGGGTTGGAAGGGACCTTAAAGCTCATCCAGTTCCAATCCTCTGCCACGGGCAGGGACACCTTCCACTAGAGCAGGTTGCTCCAAGCCCCTGTGTCCAACCTGGCCTTGAACACTGCCAGGGATGGGGCAGCCACAGGTTCTCTGGGCACCCTGTGCCAGCATCTCAGCACCCTCACAGGGAAGAGCTTCTGCCTAAGAGCTCATCTCAACCTTCCCTCCAGCAGTTTAAAGCCATTCCCCTTGTCCTGCCCCTACAGACCCCTGTCCAAAGCCCCTCCCCTGGTTTCTTGTATCCCCTTTAGGCACTGGGAGCTGCCCTAAGGTCTCCCCTTAAGAAGCCTTCTCTTCTCCAGGCTGAACCAGCCCAGCTCTCTCAGCCTGTCTCCAGAGCAGAGCTGCTCTAGCCCTTTGACCATCTTCATGGCCCTCTTTCCAGATCCATATCCACATCTTCTTTCCACAAGTCACCAGACTATATTGGAGATGTCAGGTGAGTTGGGAAACCCCATCCTAATACAGTTCATTTTTAGAAGACTCCCTTTAGTATTCTACTCTGTTCTCAATTCTGATGTCCAGTTCCAAGCTGCTGCTCAGCTCAGCTTATGAGCTTGCTTTGCATCAAGCAATGACAAAAATCAGTGCAGAACGAATCACAAGAAGTAGCATTTTACAACTGCAGATTGTCACGCAGCTCTCAGCCTGCCAGGGTAGCAATGCTATTGAAATGGTCAAGCGTGGGGTTAGGCATTTTTACTTCTGTTTTTTACTTTTCCTCTTTCCCCTTTTACTCTTCAGTTTGTGGGTTGCTCTTACCTGTGACCAAATTAACCTGAACATATCCAAGCTTTTTTAAATAGGCATTGTACTAGGCAAAACATGAGCTGGATCAGAATAGCATTTTGGGAGCCATTCCCATTCTTGGATGAGATCAATACAAACAAAACTCTCCATGACTGGAGGCATAATCACTAAAATTGGCTAAAATATGCTCTTTTGAATGATGCAGGGCCTTTTCTAAATATCAAAAGCAATGAGCTTTTTGAGTACTATTACTGACTGTTTACTTACTACACCACCACCAGAAATGGGAAATAACTCTTCATCAGGGACTGTAGCATTAGGACAAAGGGGAATGGGTTTAAACTGAAACAGAGGAAGTTCAGGTTGGATACAAGGAAGAAGCTCTTCCCTGTGAGGGTGCTGAGGAGCTGGCACAGGGTGCCCAGAGAAGCTGTGGCTGCCCCATCCCTGGCAGTGCTCAAGCTCAGGCTGGACAGAGCTTGGAGCAACCTGCTCCAGTGGAACGTGCCCCTGCCCATGGCAAAGGGCTGGAACTGGATGATCCTGGTCCTTTCCAACCCAAACCTAATGGGAGCAGAAATCTTGTCCTCCTGAACCATAGCAGGAAGGAGAGAAGGGGCTAGTTTCATTGCAAGCTGTGCACAGGATGAAGGCTTTATCATTTATCAGATCATTTTCAGGTTTTGTGTTTCATTTAGCACAGAACAAAGTGAACAGGCACTGTACAGGCCTGACTACATTTGGTCTGGTTGGACCTGGATGATCTTAAGGTCTTTTCCAACCCAAACCATTGCATGATTCTATTGGAAGTCATTTTCTGATTTCTTTCTGTGACCTGGTAGAATTAAAACATCAATGTCCTCACTAAGTTTAAGAGCTTGATATGGTTGACATCTATTCATTGCACTGGGCCGCAGAAACCCAGAACTGGCTGTTTTGCTCAGGTTATAAAAGAAAAACTATCATCTCATTCTCAGGCTTAATTCAAGGCACAACCATCCCAGTTTGAAATTTTACTCATAAACCCCTCCCCCTTAGAGTAAGACATACCACTAAGTAAAACACGTCTAAACAAGGTTTTCATTGATAGTATTTTTAATAGCCATTTGGGGGGATTCCCAAGATGGAAAGAGATGGTCCCACTGGGACCTGAGGTAGATCTGCTGGTCACCTGGAAGGATTAACCACTGCTGCTAGGGATGGTGCATCTCTCATTTTGAAATGCAAAGCTCTGTCCTAGCTCATCTTTAGGGCTTTATTTGGAACAACCTCGGGATGTGATGTACAAGCACCTCCACCATGCCTGTCCCTGCCAGAAGACTCCTAAAACTGTTTGCTACCAATTACAAAGCCAGCTTATTTGCTCCTTCCTTAAACGTGGCAGCATCTATAACAATAAGACTGTGTTTCTAGCTGAATAAGTATTATTCTGTCTTAAGGCTCCCGAGGACTAATAAATAATTTCTGTTCCATTACACAATTGGCGCTAAGGATCAACACAGCTCAGAAAACAATTCCAATAGCTCAGCTAATAAAGCTATACACTGCAACACTGCTATTCCATGTTTCACACCCATTAAACGTTTCCTGCAAGCTAATTTAGCTCTTTGTTTTTGTAAGGAGGAAGAACACCTGGAGCCTCACCTTGCAAGAAGATTCAATGGGGGTGAAGCCAGCCCAGATGTAAATCAGAGCTCCAAGTTTTATTCAAGCGAGGTTAATTTTGTACCACCAAACTACTGAAGTACCTCCTCTCAGCTTTGGATATTGCTGTGGAAATCAATTCCTTCAGATAAATAAAATCTTAAAAGTAAATTTAGAGGATCATGTTGATCCTTTAAATTTGTCTCATAATTCCAAGCACTTTATTTGTGTCTTACAAAAAGAAATCCCTTCTGGTCCTCTGTTACACAAAACATCTCCTTGTTCAAGATCCCTGGGCCTGGCTGATACATGGCAAAAGGTCTATGCAATGTGCCTCCTCCCAGCCTGCTCTGCTGCAAAATCTGGGAAACAAGGGAAAGTAAGTGTCCAGTGACAATCCTCCCAGCCATGGCATGGCCTGGCTCAGCTTTTACAGCTGTGGGCTGTCCTGACAGGTCATCTCCCTTCAACAAAAAAACCTGGTTACAGATTGCCTCGAAGTCCTATACCAAAAGTAAGAGCATCCTACATCAATGTAGGGGTACAGCACTGCCACAGGTACCCAACCCAAACAGTATTTGAAGCAGGAGAGCACCCTGACCTGCAGAACAAGTTGAAGTCCCAACGTGAACTTGAATAAAACCATGGATCCTCAATAACCCATTATTATACTAAGCCATTAATCTCTCCGTGCCTCAGCTTTGAGGCACAGATTTTTTTGATGCACCTACTAATTATGCCAGATTCTAAATACAAAAGAGAAAACTAGAGGAGTATTTAAGAGAAGGAGATGAGATCACAACTGTCACTTGCAGGAGGACAGAGCTGGGACAGCACCTCCATTCTTCCCAGAGAGTCTTTTAAAACAGAGAGATTAGATATGGTGGTTTTGTAAAGATAAAATAGAACTAATAGGGTAAAAAGCCATCCCTGCCATGAAAGTGAAATGCTGCTGCCATGTACTATTACAGAGGTGCCCACACACAACCAGGAAGCCAAACCTGGGAGCGGAAAGCAGGCTGTGAACTGGGAGTTAACCAAGTTTTATCCCCCCATTTTGAGACACGGGAGGAAATTCCCAGCTCCTCCAGGGCAAAAATAATCAATCTGGGTCTGATTTGCCAAAATACTTCAGAAGCACTAAAGGGAATTGGGAAGGATGCCGAGATCCCTTGCCCTTGAGCTCAACACAGAGCACAAGCATATTCCCCTCATCCTCCTGATCCTTCCCTGGAATAACAAAAAGAATCCATGTGCTGTAGGAGCTCTTTAAAGCACCAAAATAACATAAACATATGAAAATAAGTATTTTCAGGGATGCTCCAGCCGTATACAGGCATCAACGCAAGCACAACAAAATGCATTTCCTTGTCATGCCACACAAAACCACCGTAATCTATATTTCATAAACTCTCTTCAAAGCACTTTGCTGTACATTATTTTAGAGAGCCCCAGAAACCAATGAGCAGCAAGAAAAGACAGGTTCCATGCTAAAATCAGTCCCTGAAGCACACCTCTCCTGGTTAATTAAAAATACTAATTCCTCAGCCTTTGACAGAGGTCAAAAAAGCAGCAGCTTCTCTCACTGTTGAGCATCTCTGAGCACATCTGCTCTCAACTTACTCAGGAGTTCTTACAGGGATGTGTCAATGAGGGGAATCCTTCAGTGCTGTTCCAATACATGCCCAGGAAAATCTGACATTCCCTTACGTTCTCACTGATGGAAACCCCAGTGAGCTGTTGACTGCCAGCCTCTACAGGGCTACCACCACACCATGAAGCTCTCAAACACATCTCTCCACCAACACAGCTTGACCATTCCATCTCTTTCCACATTGTGGCAACAAGGCTCAGAGAGTACTGTTGTACACACACATATATGTGCACAGAGATGTATGTGCTATCCCAAAGCTGAAGGATG